CTCCCCTTCCACTTTTGCTCGTCTCAAACTCTCTCTCTCTCTCTCTCTCTCTCTCTCTCTCTCTCTCTCTCTCTCTCTCTCTCTCTCATCACCTGTTTTCTGTCGTTCATTTCTTCCGTCTTTCATTCTCTCTTCTCATCACACCAAAGGGGATTGTTCAATTTCTCTAAAACACGAGATGAGCCATTTTATTGAAGTTGTCGCAGAGTGAATCAGTTGTTTTTCAGTCAGGAGAGAAGAAAGCAGCTTTGGTTAACGGGGAAAATAAGAGATTTGATTTATTTTATTTTTTTATGTGTTTGTGTTGTCTTGGTTCTGGAGATCAACGTGTTTCTAATAGATGGTGTTAACATTTACGCTCCCACACGTTCCTTTTCTGAACTTCTAAAATACTGACATTTTTCAATTACTGTCACTTTTAATGTGTGAGAAAATTACTGTAAGCTCTACAGCTTTTACTGTAACTGACGAATAAAAACCTCAGAAAAACGTTAATTAATCATAAAGTAAGCTGGATCACAGAAATGGTTTGCAGGTTTTGTGCATTCACAGCCTGCGGCTCATTGTGGAGGCAAATAGGACTTTTACTCTGAAATTTGAGCCTTTATTGTGAAAACAGTTTCCTCTTAACCTTCAGCTACGTGGAGAAGAAGAGGATTGTGTTTACACCTGGATCTCCACCACTTCTGCTACCACAGGGAGCAGATTGAACACATCCTGTCCTCAGCTCTTGCTACTTGGTTCCACCTTTTTATTGGGTGAGAACTCCTGGATAATATTCTCTAACCAACCAAAGTTTCCCAGCAAACCTGCAGCAATCTCTGTTTTGTTTTCATTAGCAGCACAAGCTTTATTATCCAGTCCAGACCGAGTCAGGTCTGAGGTGAAATGCTCATGGATGTAAGGTAACTTTGTTCCTTCTTCAAAGACAAAAAGAAACAAACTGCAAAGAAAAGGGTTGCCATATTTTTTCCGTCTAGGAGAAAGAGGATTTTAAATCAGTAAACAAACATCATCTCTACACCAGAGACAAAGAGATTACAGCTTCAAAAGTTTTGAATGTGGCAAAAACTAAAATGATTGTTTCTGAATCAAAACCAGAGTAGCTGATGTTCCTGTTGAGCATCATTCAAAACGTCATACTATCATGAATTAAACAAACCAGCCGTATCATTACTAGGGAGGGTAGAGAGTTAGCAATTATTATGCAAAGAACAGAACTAATGTCATTAAAAGCCGTAAGAAAAATTATTCAAACCTTTTATTCTGTCTCATCTGAATTTGGCTTGGTGGAGTTACAGAACACATTAATGGACTTCAAATTATCCAACATAAAGCCGCTCAGATTGTACTTTGTTGTCTTTATTCTGCAAGTGTCACAGAAACAGATTAAATGTTAGGATGCATTTCGGTTCAACGTAGATTAAGTTACTCGTTTGTGTTTTTCAAAGATATCGTGAACTGTGATCTTATTTCTAAATATATTATGTAGTCAAACTACACATTTTCATTTGACCAAAAGTTTGTGTTTTTTCTGTGATGTGCAACTCTGGGATCTAATGCCAACAGATGTTATATTTAATGACAGAAACAATTTAAGAGACATATAAAACAATATTTTAGTAAGTTGAAAGCAATCTAATTTTTTACACTAGTTAATTATGTACTTAACCTAAAATTAAATGTATTCTGCCATGTTGGCTTCCTTGTGGTTTCAGTGATGTAATGCAGTGATGTGTGAACATTAGCAGCAGATGGATGAGGATCCCAAACAAACTACACTAAGAAACTTCAGTGGGTTCAGCGCAGCATCAGGGACTTGAAAACTTTTACATTTTATTAATTTTAATTATATAATGTTTTATGATTGAGGCTGCTGCGCGACGTAACCAGCTGCACCGCGGTGAGTCATTTGTTTTTCAATCAGGAGAGAAGGAGGCAGTTTGGTTAAGAGATTCGATTTCTAAAAAAATGTGTGGAGTTTTGCTTTGTTATGTAATGTTTTATGATTGACTGTTATGAATATTTTGATTAGTGGCAACAGTTGAATTTGGATGGGACATTTCATGTCAAACAGAGAGAAATTAACATTTCTTTTCCCCTGAATCAGAAATAAACCTGGAGTTTAAGGCTGTGGATCGATTTATTGCTACAGGAGCAGCAACAGACAGACCACTGGCACAATAAGACACTAATCAATAAATCAAAAGGAGTTCAATAATATACATTCTGATAATTAAGATTTTTGTAAGCTAATTTTGTTTAGAGATATCTTAATTCATTTTATAGGCTTTCAGTTGTGTGTGTTTTTTATCTCCATTTTCTTTGGATGTTATGTTTTATTTTGGATAAATCTTGGAAAGAGAGAGAAAAATGTAGAATTACTACATTTTTCATGAGGCATAACTCATGTATTGTAAGATATAGTAGTTTTTTTGTTTTCTTGTTGTTCTTTTTTTACTTTTGCTTTTACCAGAATTAGATAAAATCGATGATCTTACTGTAACAACAATGCTTATTTTGAGAAAATATGTTTGTAAAATCCAGGTTGTGGTTTCAGAAAAAGCAAGGGATTCCAGATTTCTTTCATCTGATTCTTTTGCTCCAGAAAACAAATTTCACACATGAACAATTTTTAAAACATCAACTTCCAGGAAACAACAGATTCTAACAAAGATTTTTGATTACAAAACAATGCATGTGTGTGTATTTGTCACATTTTGTGTATTTATGCTGAGCTCCACATGTGAGGTAATGCATTCAACCTTTCTTCTGCAGACTGAATACCAATTATATGTTGGAAAATTCCCAGGAGAATGTGGGTCAGTTTCTTCTTCCTGCCTTTTCTCAACTTCATTCTTTATTCATTATCTGTGTAAAAGAGCAACAAAGCATACAAAAATCAGAGAATGAAAACATTTCATGTGAAGAATAAATGTCCTTAAAAACAAGTGCATAAAATTCCCTATAGCATCTCCTTCTGGATGAAACCAGTCTCTGAATTTTTCTAAAGTTGTCACCAGGTAGGATTTTGTAGGATAATAAATCTGTTGGGGAAAAAAAACAAATTAACACGATTAATTACTAAGCAGTTAGCTCAGCCAAATGGTCTGCTGAGGGATGAATAGAGACCAGGTTCGATTAGCATTCGATAGTCAAGGATAAAATTTCATTCTTTTTAACAAAATTTCAAACTCACCGCACAACTTCACATTAGTCCTTTCCCTTCAGAGATAGTCAGCAAACATCTGGACAAAACGTCGCTGCAGGAAGAGGGAATGTTCCTTTTTCATCACCTTTCTGTAAAATATCCCTGCTTCCTTTTAAAAGTGCATCTCTTTTTCTTCCCCATGGACTCCCAAAGAGATTTAAATAAAATCAAGAATTTGCCAATAAAATGAATGAACACAAATTAAAAAACTTTACTGCACCAGTGACTCAGTTTGATCTTTTGTGGAAAACTTAGCAGGCAGTTAAGGAATTTAAAGATAAGCCGGTGAGTGTGTAATATTCATTTGAATGGTGGGTCCACTAATGAACCTGTCAAAGTTAATGATGCCTTCAGGGGAAACACTTTGAAGCTGTACTTTTCTAAATCAGCTAATAAGTTATTCTCATTATTTGTTCTGTTTCATTTCACTCATTCACACAGGACGAACTTCCAACTTCAAGATATGATGCACAAAAAGGGAAATACTAAATAGAGTTTATTTCATGTTTCACAAATGAAGATTAAATTTTAGCCTGAGTTCTGGAACATGAGCTCAAGGTTCTGCCAACATTTCTATCTGAAGTGCAGTAATCCTTTGTTGCATAGATCTTTCCCTTTAGAGAGACACAAGAAAGATTTTAAATGGTTTGTTATGGATTCCACTTCTGTATTTATAGTCTGAAAATTAAAACTCTTCCGTCTCTAACGAGGCAGACGTTAACATCAGTTCTCTCTTGCTTAATCCAGTTATTAAAATCCTGGTAATGTCCCTCCAATGTGGAGTAATTTCTTTAAAATGTGTGACATTACTTCACCAGCTTATTTACTTTTCAGGCCATTCATTAAGATTACAGAGAATTTCAATGAATAAAGAAGGACTTAAAGTGAGTTTCCCCTTATAAAAGTAAAACAGCAGTTTGGCTGTTTGGAAACCACGATGACAGGAAAGAGCAAAGTAAAAACATTTTTTCATCACTTATTTATACAGTTTCAATGGGTCACTTTGATTTCACCAAATTGAGTAGGCATACTCTTCCTAAGCAGCAGTGAAAGTGGATTCAGTCTGGAACATTTCCCTGACATTTTACATTTATTCTTCTCTTCCTCTACCTCAGATAAACCCAAAGTTAATATAGTGAGCTGACAGTCTGAAGACGGGCACTCAGGTTGGGAAATATTACAATATCTACAGTTTTTCTCTTTAAGGCAAAATTACATTTTATTACTACCTTCCACCTTTGGTTTTATTTTTCAGGTTTGGCATGGAGCAGCCTTTAGAAATGTCCTGATCTTTTCAAACAGCACAACCTGGCAGCATTTACCCAGCTGTCCATAGAGTTTTATCTTTCTAAAACTAACTTCTTTAAACTGATCATATGACAAAATGCAGAAAACAAACAAATCAACAAAAGCATCTCTAGCAAAGAAAGGGACAGGTGTCGTTTTCTTTATTTTGTGAAGACATAAATAAAAGTGGCTACATCATATGAACTCCCCAATCTGATAGTTACTCTTTTTAAAAAATTCTGCATTCTATGTATAATATAAATATATATAGTGTTGTTAAAGAAGCAAATCCTTCTGGTTTACATTTAGTGGACTTAGGCATCGTTTTCAGAATCTAATCTTCAGAGGTAGATGGTGAAGTAGTTCATTAGTTGTTTCAGACGTAGGTCTGCAGCGCGAAAAGATGGAAAATCTCAACATGCACTGCCTAATGACTTTCCTCTCAGAAGAAATATTGAATGATGCATTAATGATTAACTGAAGCTTATACATTTTTAAAATGTCTCGCTTAAAGTATTCATTGTTCTAATGCTCTGCTGTTGACAGGTGCTGTGTAGCTTTCTTCCCACGATTTGTGCGTGCAGGCTTAGTGTGTGTTTAATGGGAATACTTACAAGCTAATGTGGTTCTGCCATGAGTTCTGGTCTGGTGTGAATCCCCAGAGCCAGAAACAAATATGGAAAAGCAGCATTCAGCTTCTACGCACCACATATCTGGAATTAAAGAAAAGTCCCACCAGCTCGCCATCTGTTCTATTCAGTTTTCATTTGAAGGTAGAAAAAAACTGACCTATAAGAGCCAGAACAACAATCAACAACAAATCAAATTCAAACATTAATTCAAATCAGCTCACCGGTAAACCATTAAAATAATACATCCTTTAAATAACCAAATAATCATATGGATCTTTCAATGCAGTATTCCTTGGGAAAAGTCATTAATTTAACTGCGCAGTTATGTTCAAAAAATGCTACTTCCGGTTAGCGTACCAATCACAAAATGAGTCAAAAGCACAAAAATAAAATCCAAAATCAGTTAGGTATTATAGCCGAATGAAACAACACATCTTTTGAAATTAATCTGTGTGCACACTACCAGCTGCAGTTTTATTATAAATGTGTAAATTAAACTTCAAATTTTAAAAGCATTTTCTCAATGTAGTTCCGCAGTGGCTTTAGCAAAGCCGCAAAAAAGGATTTTAAAAAAAAAAAAAAAAAAAAAATCATCAAATATGTACTGCTTTAAACGGGAATAAAACAAAGCTTATTGCAGAACCAAACGTATTAGTTATATGTTGAGTTGCAATAGATGGTCAATTCAGCCAAAACAACAGATTACCTTCTGAGCTCATTAAATTGTTCTTCCGCCAAGCAGTGACGGCCAGCGCTGGGTAGTAACTCGTTACGTTTGCTCAGTTACGTTTACTTGAGTAACTTTTTTTGAAAAATTTACTTTTAGAAATATTTTTACTACGCTGTACTTTTTTACTTTTACTTGAGTAATTTTATTATAAAGTATCTCTACTCTTACTTGAGAAAAATTTCTGGATTCTCTGCCCACTGAATTAAAAACAAACATGTTTTAACCAAAAATTAACTAGACACAGACTGTTAAAGTTTCATAGATTTTTATTGAAAGAAAGTGATTTGGAAAATTTTTCTCTTGCTTTGTTTTGTTGCTTGTATGATTTATTGCCATTTTAGTCCATAAAATATCCACTTAACTTTACATTTTGGTCCATCTGATGATGTAATTTTTAAATATTAAAGTATCAATAATTTGATCAGTTACTCAGTACTTGAGTAGACTTCTTACCAAATACTTTTTTTCTCTTACTTGAGTCATTTCTCTGATACTTTTACTCGAGTAAAACTATATTGAAGTATCGCTACACTTACTTGAGTACAGTTTTGGGGTCCAGTACTCCTGGTGAGAGCCAATCTGGGAAGAGTTTATTGATCACGTGACATTTCTTGGTTTCAATTTAATGTATTTTAGCAACATATTGATTTAAGATATTCTATTGACATATTTAGTTTAATAAATTGTTTATGCATTTTGTTAATTAAAAAAATGACAAATTAAACAATTGTTTTATCATAAATTGCTTTAAAAGTATGAAACTCTCCATGATTGTTTTAATTCATGTTACCCTGAAAAAAGTTGCCTGCCTAAACAGAAAATGTGTTGTCCTGAATAACCTTTAAAAATGAGTTTTTTTTCCTTTATTACAATGAAGTCGCCAGATGCTTGAAAGGTGGGTTATTCTGGTTCTCATCTAGTTTGTGGATTGGTTAACATCTATTTAATAAGTAAGCAACTGAGCAAAGATACAAAGGATTAGCATGTCGTCGACTTTGGTGCTATTGGCAGAATCATCAACATTGTCTGTTGATCTAATTCTGCAGTTGGCGGAGGATAGAAGCAGATTTTCACTTCTAAAAATAGCAAACAGAATGGATCAACAGCACAGTGAGCCAAAAGTTGGTTTGTCTGAGGTCTGCTGTGGGAGACAAACCCGTCCCAATAACATGATTTATGTAACATGTATGTAACAAAAATGAATAAAACATTTAGCGATGGTGTATCAGCATTTGTTTCAGGACATGGATTTTATCCAAACTCTTGTCTTGCTGGATCAGTTCATCCAGGAGAAAGTGTGTGTTCTTGTTGTCTTGTTTGGATTATGAATGTGCGTGCATGCGTGCATGCGTGCGTGTGTGCGTGTGTGTGTGTGTGAGCGTTTGTTTGTAATATCTTGAGGGGACGATGGACGATTTTCCTGACATAAACTACGCTGTGGGCACCAATTGCTCCTTGTGGGGACCAGAGCCTGGTCCCCACAAGGTCTGGAGTTTTGGTTGGGGTTAGATATGTGATGGTTAGGGTTAGGAAAAGGGTAAAGGTAAGGTTTAGGCTGTAGAAATGAATGGAAGTCAATGGAAAGTCCCCACAAAGATAGCCACGCAAACATGTGTGTGTGTGTGTGTGTGTGTGTACTGTACAGCAGACACAAAAGGACAATAGTTCCTGCAGGAACAGAGGGAAACGCAGCGAATTGTCAAGGACACAGATGTTGGCAAACTGTTACAAATATTGCAAAAATTCCTCAACTAAAAAAGCTAAAAAGTTAAAATTTGAAAGTATATCTTGGACTGAACTTTGACAATTTGTTTTCTACTATTATGGTTTGGTGAGGTATTTGTTTTTGAGAAGGATTTACAATAATCAATGATATCAGTGTTGAGCTTTATCAGCTAAAACCTTGTGAACACAGAGGAGTGAGGATCGAAAGGGTCAGTTTGGTGAGAAAACGCAGCATTACAGCCATCAGATAAAAATCTGCAGCACTTATTTCATCTTAACTCACTGAGACGCCAGAAAGCCACATCAACCCAATTAAAAGAGGAAACAAATTAAGAAACTCTAAATTAAAAGTACTACTGCTACAGGAAGACAAAGTCCTAATCATCATGACAGTGACATGCCTTTTGCATTATCAGTGCACTCTGAAAGCCTTTGCGCTTTCAGATTTTATATGGCTGCATAGTCATCAGACTTTTGTTCATTTAGTTGCATAATGTTTGCCTGATTCTAGAGCCTGCAGAGTCCAGAAGGTAAAGATTAGCATGATATTTCGTATCCACAGGATGAGCATCCTGTGATCCCCTGAGGTTTCCTTTATCCCCACCAACAGATTAAAGTCTCAACCAAAACAGGCTGGCAGAAAAAAATGATGTAAAATACTCAAGGATCACTTAGAACCATTACATTTGTCTTTATGGTTCTTAATCTCAAGACATGTCACTCTCCAATGCAAATTTTATTAAATAACATCCAAATGGAAGATGTTATAATTCTGTTTACACCCAGTCATTCTAGTTCAGTATGATCTATCAAAGAGCTACATTGATTCAGACAATAAAAAAAAGATTAACATGATGAATTTAAATAACTTTTTACTTTCCTTTAAACTAACTGGTTTGGGATAAAGTTTGCATTTTGATGACATTTCTGTGTTTATTGTGCTGTTTTTCTTCAAGTGATGCTGCAGAAAAGCTTTTTTGTGACTCAAGGCTTTTCCCCTCCTGGCTGTAACAGCACAGGCGTCTCAGCTCCACAAATAGCTTCTTTTTGTTCCTGGTGGTGACATTTCAATTCAAAGGTTAGATGTTGCAGATGTTGTTGAGGTTCATAACGCTCCGCTGCTCTGTCATCATCTGAGGTCATTATTTCAGGGTGAAAACACAGATTGTGATCATGACAGTGTGTTCATGCTTAGCTTGTTTGTGGATTTGCTGTGGATGCTACAGGTCAAAAGCATTCCATTTTCTGAAAACAATAAATTTTTCTGAGAGCATAAACATAATATGCAGTTATCAGAAATATTTTGATATTTTTACTCATTGTCTTCCATCTTTCAGTGGTCGGTGCTGCCTTGCAAAGTCCAGCCTGGAAAATGTCTGCCCTGTAAAGGTGATTTTTGTGGTCCTTCTCTGACAGATCCTGTCTTCAGTCAGCATTAGTGGAGGCCTCATTTTGCTTGTGTGTTTACGAAAAGCCCAATGCACATCAGGACGCTTCATTTTAAAACGACTGCCCTGTTGCATCGGCAGCACAGGCGCCTTGCAACACCTTGACTGTGTATCTCAACACCTTCAAAGAGAAAAACTTTTAGCCTTTACTTTCAGAAGGTGTTGACAATGTGAATGACTACAGAAAATGACATGAAAGCCAGGTTTGTGACTTTTTAAGACGATGTTTAAATATATCATCAGCTAAAATACTAAAATGTACTTTTGAATAGTTTGCACAAGTACATATTTTTGTTTCCTGTTTCTGTTTTGTATTTTTGCATCTTGAATTTGTATTTGAAACCTGGTTATTTCCCTCTGACATGGATTGAAAGAGGTTCAGATTTCTCCCCTGGGTTTAAGATTTTGACCTTGGGAGTTTTTTTACTTGAGTTGTTCCGATCAGACAGTTTTACTTTCATACACATGCAACTCTTTGCTTCTAAATAGCACTTAAGGCTCACATATGAAATCATCATGAAACAATAAAAATACTGGATTTTTTTCCTCCTTTGTCTGGAAAACTCAGAAAATTGTCAGTCTGGTTCAGTGTGAAGAATCATGGAAGTGCACTTCTATACTCACAACCTGAAATACTTAAATACCTGCTCATCAAGCAGGAGCAGCAGAAACTCCTTCCAGGACATTTCAGCCCAGTTTGGGTAGAAACTGGGCCGTGGCCTCAGAAATTCATCTTATATAGAAAGTAGAACTCAATCTTCATTATCAGGTCATTTTTCATTTTGTTTATTCAGACAAGTTTAACCCACATTCTTTCATAAAATAAAAGTATCCATACAGCTGAAACATTTATCTTAGCTGAATTTGTCACCAGATAATGAATGACAAAGATATTATTTAAATGTTGGTCGTTTCCTACTGAGCCGTTTCATGAGAAAAGCTTCACTCCGTGTTAAAAACTATTTCAGTTTTTAAAACGACCGGACTCTTCTCTTTAAACACAGAATGCATGTGAAACATGTGGACACTTATACCTGCCTGTTTTAATAGTTCCAGCACCAAATATCCATAAATATGCATTAATATATAAAGTTTTATATCGTTTTAGTTTGATTTTATTTTTGTTTCTTATGCTAATTTCTTTGTTTGTTTTATTGCTGTAAGTAATGAACTGTTTAGAAATTGTTTGAATTATATTTAGACCTACGTTTTCTTTTAATCTCAAATCATTTTTTAGTCTTTATTATGTTAGTTTATAATCAGCATAAATTAGTGTATTAATTTATGCTGATTTGAATTTGCTCCTGTGTCTCATAATCGTCTTTCAAATCATTTTAATTTGTTTAGAAAACAATCCTGATTTTTTGTTTGTTTGTTTTGTTTAGGTAATAGTTATGTTTTTCTTTTTGTTGTTTATTTTTTGTCTTTTAAAAGAGTATTGTGTTTCTCTTGTGTATGAAAGTGCTTTTAAAATAAAAAAGCCCTCACTTAGTCCTTATTAAAATAATTAACGAGCGCAGCT